TTCCACACTTGGTCAGGTTTACTGTAACACATGTGACTGCACACAAGCAGAACAACCCCAGCAGCAAACTCAGTGTACCTCAAAGTGTGCAACTAAAGTGTGCAGTGAATTACAATGTGCAGGAAAATGCTAGTTAGCCTTCACCGACTTTCACTAAATCTTGTTTTAAAAAAAGATCAAACGAAAAATATGACATATCCCTTTAAATTAGCCTCAGTTTCGAGTCTTCCGTTTGCGCCGCCCCTTGCTCTTTGACCAGCCTATCAGTGCACGGTGCACGTGACGAGCGCTCTCTGCGATGACCTCATCCCTGGTGTGGGATGACGTCAAATTCAAGATGGATGGAATCACGACCAGCGCGGAGAAATCTACACAACACTGAACAAAGTCCCGGCTACGTGGAGGAAAGACCGTATTCACGACGGGCAGGGTAAGTGTGGCCAGCCTAACGAAGTTACCGGTCAGTAAGACGAGCAGGGCGGCGCAGACACAGTTGGTGAGAGCTGTTGAGGAGAAGCTTTTTCCTTTTCCTCCCTGACGTAACTCGGAGGGGGGATTGTGTCGCTGTAAAAACCTGACCAGCTACAACCTGTTTTGCAGCCAGCAGCAGCTCCGGTGTCAGGCCGGTGTGCAGCCGTTTGTTTTTGGTGGGAAAAAAAATAAAAGAAGTAAACATAACAAAACCAAAAGCCTGACTTCCACCGGGGATAGCGTTTACAACTGACTCCTTACAGCCAAAACGGCGTCTCTGCCCGCGCAGACTTTCATTTCTGGATTAGCGCGGTGCAGTCCATTGAAACGCGCTCAACTTTCCCCCCTCTTTATTTGGCGTTAGCTGCTCGACACCAGGCGTTGCACCCTCGGGTTTGTCTGAAGCTAAACAGAAAAAGAAATGTACGAATGCGCTGTGAAGTGAAAGCAGCATATCAGTCGGAGAAGTTCTTTTAGAGCCACGTCTCATGGATGATCTAATGCCCGAAGCTCGGCTTCCTCTGGGAAAACATGACACGACCTGACATTCCCTTGTTTTTCCTAACACGGAGCACACATTTACACCCAAAGTCCACTAGGCAATCTTTAGTTTTTTGATGAATGAATGGGGGTTCTGCCCATAAATATATTTAGCAAGTGTCAAAGTAGCCAACGTAAGTAACGCGACTTCCGGTTACAATTTTCAAAATAAACGCCGTGACTTCCAGGCAGCACCGTTTTCAGGAAAATGAAATGCATGCATATAATGCTTTGCAATCCCTGATTTTGACTATGTTAATCACACAACTATTGCTGTGTCAGATGGGGTTTGTTCTTGTAACAGTACAGTGCTGTTCAGTAGTATTATTGCACCACTGACCGATGCAGGTGTATCGATATTATGCAGTTTCTTACATGAATTCTACAAAATAAATTAGATTTATAATAAAAATGATGAAAAACACATCATAAAGCCCAAATTTAGTGCAAGAAAACTTTGTTCAAGTCAATACTTTATAACTTGGTGTGCTTTCTAAACTGTTTTAGTTTCGATTACAGCACCAGTATACTTGATCATCACACAAAGGGTGACATGGAAGTAGTCAGCACAATAGTGTTTAAGCTCAGCTGTAAAGCATACAAATGCTAATGGGTCCTGTGCCACGTTTGATGAATCTTTTAGCTGACAGTATGAACAGCAGGCTAGATTCATCAAATAAACCTGCGTCCTGAAATACCAAGAGTGCTTTTCTCTGATAGTTACATTTTTCTACCATAGAAATAAATGTAGATGTTTAATGGTTTAAGTGAAGGTGGCTCAAGGCAGACAATGCATTTCAACTTGTAGTTGAAACCTTTTAAACTTCCTGCAGTGCCCTGTGTGGTTGAGGGCAACTTGACAGAAATTTTTCCTACCCTCAGACTGATAACATGATGTAATTCCCATAAATTCTGTGGAGAGTTCCTTTACACCATTTTATATTTTAAAAGGCTCAACTTTGACCTCTAGTGATCATCACAAACAACAGCAAGACAAAAAATGCACATGTAGTTGTAAACCCCGTTGTGTTAAACACGATTTAACCAGTTTTTTCTTTACTTTTACAGCAGTCTGTAAGGCATCGATTTTTATAGCTCATAATAAAGTCGATAGGTCGTTTGGATAAATAAAATAAATAAATCTTGTTCCTGTATTTTAGACAACACAATCCTGTCTTGTGTTTTTAGTGAGAGCTATGCTGTTTTCAGTAATACAGAAAACAGATGAGCGTAAAATCTTCACACATGATAAACAGGAGCTTTGCTATGTTTGGCATGTTTGCAGTTGTCGGATTGCCAGTTTGCTTAATAATGAATAATGGCTGCAGCTGTAGTTCTCAGCAATTATTGTATTGTGTTACTACTTCCTTTGAACGGTTATGGTTGCAACATAACATGAACAATCACCAAAGGCTGCACTAAAACTTTGATTATTCGTAATGTTTTTGTTGCAACATGCTGACGTCAGCGTTGTTAATATGGAGATCTGGTGAAGTATATTAATGTTTTTGTCTCACCGTGAAGTCATGTTGTATATGAGCTCCTGAATAATATTCTAACGAGCTCAAACAAACAAGTGCTTATGTCCCCCCCCTCCCCAAGGACTAATGCTTTAGAGTTTTGAAGCCGATCCGATGGAAACCAAAGCTTTTTCCTAATTCGTGTGACCCTGACCTTTGACTTATGACCTTGAAGCCCTACATACTAAAATAGTGTATTTTATTATCTTTACCCATATGATTGGAGCAGAACCAGCTGAAATCTTTAGCTTTAAGCTGTAAAAACTTGAGATTTTAATATATATTCATGCAGTGTGTGATAGGGTGTTGTATTGAAAGAAAAGTGTGTTGTACAGCTTTCCCGATGCCATTTCATATCATATATTATGCTTGAAAGATTTCTTGAAGGTCAAAGTCAAATGTTTACCCAAACTATCTGCTCATGTCCCCCAAGGTCGAGTATATTGTTGTGACGTTTGAATACGATCCATATAAAACTCTGATTAATAAACAAATTTTACTGGTTTTTATATTTGGTGTGATCTTCACCTGATTTTCACCCTAAATTAAATCAGCCGGAGCTTTTATGGGCGTCTACCATCAGACGAAATTTGCATAGGATATCTTGAAAACGGTGGATGCTAGACTGCTAATAGACAGACAAACACAACTGATTACATAGTCGCTCACTTTTAGGGGAGAACAGACGAAAGGCTTCAGGAATACTTGTGTGTGTGTGTGTGTGTGTGTGTGTG